CCCAGCACTCAGGAGGCTGATGCAGGAGGATCACGAGTTTGAGATCCTGCCTCAAGAAACGAAATAATCATGAGCCATCGCAAATAATGCCACACTTGTGTATTCACCATGCAGAATATGAAACAAAACATTCCAACCACAACTGAAGTCCTTTTGTGCATCCACTTCGCTGATAATTTCTTGTCTTTTCATGTCAAGACTTATTACTGTTTTCTCCGTGTAGGATACTATTCTAATTTTATTTCAAGGGACTTATGATTCCTCCTCTTCCTCCTGTATTATTAAGGTTTATCTACATCCTGTTTGTGTTTATGCCTTTTCTTGACAGGAACCCCCGGGTTCCACTCAGAAATACCTACGCCATAGCTACAGCCCAAGACTGAACAGCATATTTCCCGTCTGAAGGCAAATTAAGGCGATTTTCCTCAACCACTGTCAAAAGGTCTCAGGGACTGCTTCTAACTAGACTGTAGATACATGGTTTGCAGACTAGGGCGAGCTCTCTCTGGGACTGCAATTCAGATCCCCTGAACCCATGAAGGCCCACCTGGGATTCCAGTGTCCCAGTGTTCAGAAAAAGAGCCAGACCATCTTTGGAACAAGCTGGCTAGTTAGACTAATCTGCATTTGCAAACTCCGTTTCAACTGAGAGACCCTGCCTCGAAGAATAAAGCAATAAAGCGGCCACACATGCACGCACACATGCATTAGTACCCGAATGTACGCCTGCACCTACACACATGCAAGCACACATGTCATTGCTATTTTTTTATTTGTTTGTTTCATTTTGTTTCATTAACAACTTCATCAATTCCAGTATTTGGAGTTATGTCTGACTGAAACGCAAACCATCCTCACCTCTTTTTGGATCACAGGCCTTTGTTTTTTTGTTTTTTTTTTTTTTGCTTTTGTTTTGTTTGTTTAGGCCCACGTGTTTTAGGATATCAGGGTCTTTTTCTAAGTTCTAGGGCTATAAGTAGTAATTCATAGTAATTAGAAACCGAGGTTCAAAAGCCAAGATACAGTGGCTCACACCTGTAGTCTCACCTTGAGAAGTTGAAGCAAGAGTCTTGTGAGTTCAAGGCCAGCCTGAGCTACGCAAAGAGGCTAGATTGAAGATTGCTTTATTCGGACCAGTGTGGTAGTATGTGGCTGTAATCCCAGCACTTACGAGGAGGATGCAGGACCACCATCAACTCAAGGTTAGCTTCAGCTATTTAGGTACTTAGTAAGTTTGAGATCATCCTATGTTACACATGACCCAGTCTTAAAAACATTCCCTCCCCCCCCAAAAAAAAAATTTCCCCAAGGGCTGGAGTGACAGCTCAGGGAAGAGCCAAGAGCACATAATGTTCCTATCGAGGCCCCTCGTTCAGTTCCCAACATACACACATCAGGGGGCTCACAACTGCCTGTGTCTCTGGTTCCAGGGAATGCAACATCCTCTTCTGGTCTCTGCAGGCACCTGAGTCTACATGAAGCACACAAACTCACTCAGGCACACACTCGTGCACACAAGTTATTTTTTTATATTTATTTATTTATTATATATACAACACTCTGTCTGTGTGTATGCCTGCAGGCCAGAAGAGGACACCAGATGCCATTACAGATGGTTGTGAGTCACCATGTGGTTGCTGGGAATTGATCTCAAGACCTTTGAAAGAGCAGGCAATGCTCTTAACCTCTGAACCATCTCTCCAGCACCTCATACACATAAGTTTAAAAAAAAAATTTTAAGCTGGGCAGTTGCAGCACGTGCCTGTAATCCCAGCACATGGGAGGCAGAGGCAAGTGGATCTCTGTGAGATTGAGACCAGCCTGGGTCTACAGAGCGAGTTTCAGGACAGGACAGGCTCCAAAGCTACACAGAGAAACCCTGACTAGAAAAACTATATATATATATATATATATATATATATATATATATATATATATATAAAATAACTTTCTAAACGTTTCCTTTGTTTACTGATTGTACAACCTTAGATGAATTACGAAAACAGTCTTCATCAATGTCATAGTTATAGCTAAATAATACGTAAGATGTCCCAGAGCTGGAGTTATAGGCAGTTGTGAGCCACTCAGCATGGGTGCGGGGACTGAACTCAGGACCAGTGGAAGAAATGAGTGCTCACAACAGTGACAAGACACCCCTCCAGCTTCATAGGGTAATTTTAATGTTTCTGAGTCACGGAATTCACCAGTGCAGAATAAAAGCCTCCTGAAGGCCAGGAGTATCATGCGTTTCAGTCACACAAACATCCCTAGCATGGTACAGGGTCTTTGGCATGGCACATGCCCATGTAGTCAATATGGGTTTAACTAAATTGCCGGAATTATAGACTCATGAAATTTCAGGCAGTGCCCCCCCCCGTGTGTGTGTGTGTGTGTGTTTGTGTGTGAGAAAGAGAGAGAGAGAGAGAAAGAGAGAGAGAGAGAGAGAGAGAGAGGTATACCCTGTTACTTGTCACCAAAATCACCTTGGCAGACAAAACTTCTCAAACTGTCCCTGCCTACACACTCAGACATTGTTGTGTCAGGGGTTAGCACAGTGGAATCCATGGCTCCGGTTAGTTCATTCAGAAGTGGGCTCCTGGCACAAACCAAACCAATCTTAGTATTTTGAGGAATCGAGACAGGGTTAAGACTGGTTAAATGTGGGGGCTGGAAAGATGCCTCAGCGGTTAAGAGCATTGCCTGCTCGTCCAAAGGTCCTGAGTTCAATTCCCAGCAACCACGTGGTGGCTCACAACCATCTGTAATGAGGTCTGGTGCCCTCTTCTGGCCTGCAGGCATACACACAGATAGAATACTGTATACATAATAAATAAATAAATAAATAAATAAATAAATAAATAAATAAGTATTTTTTTAAAAAAAGATTGGTTAAATGTGACCTGGAGGCTACGTGGCAGCTATGCTAGGTGCCCTCTGAGTAGCACATGCAGCAAGTGAATGAGGGGGAAAACGAGGCCAAACGACCATAGAAACAGACCAAGGACAAGCCCCAGAGGCAGCAGAGTGTGAGGAGCTCCTACTTTCCAGTTCCTGACAGTTGGAGAAGTCAGGTTTTCTGGTAATAAAGCCTCTTTCTTCCTTACTTCACTCTGAGAGAGGAGGAAAGATTGTTAGAGACCGTTTGTTTGTGTGTTGGTTGTAATTATAGCCATGTATTCTAGGCAAACCACACCTTACTTGCTATAAGCGTAACATGTCTTCATAAAAACAATCACTTTCAATACAGTAAAAAACAAAACAAAAACCCACCAAGGGACCAATCCAACCAAACACACAACTCTGAAAGCTTTGGACACTTCCATGAGTGACAGACTGGATGACCCTAGGGGTCTCCGGTCTACCTGTCTCTGCTCTTGGCAGCCATTCTGATCCTCTCCTCTTCTGGCTTCTCTTCCAAATCAGTTTCGAACGACCTCACAGTTGGCTTTTTGTTTCTCTTTGAGGTTCGCATGCTCAACTCTAAGAATTGGCTCTCCCTATCGACCTAAAGCTGGTTGGACTTCACATCTAAACGGTCGCAGTAGCACACAGAGACCAGCTGGAGGAAGGCCATGTCTGAGGGCCATTGTACAACTGCTTCCACATCTGCAGGTCCTGGTGTGCCCTTCTACTACTGTCTGCTTTCCATTGCATGCTGTTGGAGGTCGGGTGACTGCATCTATTTGAAGTGCGTCTGTAGGACTCTGAACATGGATCCGTATGAGGCTTGGAGCAAGGAAATAAGTTCAGTCAAGTGTGCTCACAAAGTGCTGATGGGTGGAAATGTTGGAAGAGATGTGTGATCGTGTAAAGGGACTGCTTCCGTATTTACCTCTGAGCTAAGGATCATCTGAAACGTTCCCACACCCAGCTGCCTTCTCCCTGCTCTGAGCAAAGACCTGCTCGTAATGGTAAATCTCTTGTACTTGTCACTCAGTTGAGTTAGCTGTTTCCATATTAATAGGATTAAGAATTGTTCACTGTGTATTCCTCCTCTAACATGTCTTCCTCTACTTTCCTGGTATCTATCACTGTACACACACACATGTACACACAGATGCACACACACACACACACACACAGATGCACATACACATGCCCACACACGAGCATGCACGCACACACACACACACACACACACACACACACACACACTTTCATTTGAAACATTGAGTCTGGAGCCTTCCGTATACTTGGCCAGTATCTTCAAGGTCACTGATGTTACTTCTTGTCTCTGCTGTGTGGGAGCCAGAGAGTGAGTCACCAGGGTGAATGCTGCCTCTGTAATACTACCAGATTGTGTTTGTCTCCACTTCAAAGCTCCTTACTTTAACAGAATAGTATTTCTCCATCCGGCCCACCCAAACAGCAGTCTGGGTGCTGAAAAGCAGCAGTTACATGAACAACATTCTTCTTTCCTTAGGCCTTTCCTTCCCCCACCTCAGAACACTAGCAAGACCTTCAGGGAAGCCATGAGGCCTCAAACTAGCCAGGTTTGGCCAACTAGAGAGCACAGCTGGGCATCTTGTTTAACCCTCCCTCTTGCCCTCTTGTCCTTCCTCCCTCTTCTCCTCCTTTCTCCTATCCTCTTTCAGTTTTATCACATGATACTATAACTACACCTTTCTTGACCTCTCTTAATTATTTCTTGGCTCTTTAGGTCTCAATTGCCTTTTCTTTTCCATTCATGAAAGAGTTTATGATTCTGAGTTTTCTGAGACACGAAAGACAGACTGGGGGGAGTGTTTTAGACTCAGAATCTAGAGAGAAAGAGGGAGGGGGAGAGAACAAGAGACAGAGAGAGAAAGAGAGACAGACAGATAGGCAGGCAGGCAGGCAGACAGACAGACAGACAAACAGACAGAGAATCTTTCCCACTTCCACGATATCATCATAAGGTTACCTGTACTAAACTCACGACATTGATATATTGGCGTATCTGCTGCACAGCGGCTACCACGGAAGGGAGGGTCAGTCAAGGGGACCCAGCCACAGCGATAATCACTTTATATTCATATATCAATTCCCATGACTTAAAGAAGCTGCACTAACTTGGTTTTGAGACAAGGCTTTGCTATGAGACAAGAGTTTGCTATATAACTCGGGTTGGCCCTGAACCTATGATCTTCCTGCCTTAGTCTCTTAGTCACAGAGATTACAGTTGTGAACTACCAAGTCGCCTTACTCACCTGTGAGTATGATGAGATTCAGAGATTTGAAATCGCTTGCCCAAGACAACAGACAGTAGCAGAAATGAGGAAAATGGTCATGTAAGTACCAGGATTATGCCTTTTATTGTTGTTAGTGTTGAGTGAGAGATCGGGCCTTAACCCATCTTTATTTCCCAGGGTTTCCATGGGCATGGAATTTTTATTTCAATTTATGGAATACACAGAAAGAGTATACTTTTCTCTGATCCTTCTTATGTTACTTGAGGCCAAGGTGACCTCTGGCTGTTGCCCGTGGTGTTTGGACTTACCTTCCCTGCACTAACACAGCACATCTTAGATTTTCTGCATATCCTCATTCATGGCTGTGCATGCTAATCAAGTGTCCTCTAGGCCTAAAAAATTGACGCAGCTTACTAGCCATGCTGGGGCATTTGCGGGGAGAAAGAAATATTATTAATAGCCATGCTGGACATAGCAGGATGCATGGCTATCTCCTTGGGACAAAGTATAGTGAAGCTGATGTCTCCTGTGGACCAGGAGACTGCTTACAGTCCCGCCCTAACAAAACAAGAGAACAGAGGTTGTAGAGGATGGAAGAGCCACCTGCCACCTTTACATGGCTCTGGGGGTTGAACTCTGGTCACCGTGCCTGTTAAGCAAGCACCTTTGCCTGCTAAGCCATTTAGTCATCCCTCAACAGTCATTTTAATCAGTTAAAATTACACTTATTTATTTATTTATTTATTTGTGGGGGGGGCATGTGTGCATATGTGTAGAAAGCAACTCCCAGAAGCCAATTCTCTCTATCAACCCAGGGGGCTCTGGGGATTGAACTCAGGTCTTTAGGCTTGGTGGCAGGCACTTTTTACCGGCTTAGCCATCTTGCTGGCCAAATCATTTTTAGCTTAACTGTGGATCCCAGCTCTACTCTGGATATGCTGAAAATATACTCTGCGCGGCAGGCTTGGGTAACTAACTGCATTTTAAACGCTTCTTAAAGAAAAAAGAAAGAAAGAAAGAAATCATCTCTTTATCAAAGTGATACCAAATATTTGCACACTCATTCTACCCTGAGAGGTGCGAAGGAGGTTCCTGCTGGAGTCAATTGCTCAACTGTTTGCAACATTAGGATTTCTTCAGCGATGCCATCTCTGTGGCCTTCATCACTCACTATTTGAATCAAATAATTTAAACCACATGAGCCTTTTCTCTATTTTTTTTTGGGGGGGGAGGGGTCGGGGTTGCTGTGGATTGAGCCAGAGATCATACATGTTAAATGTGTGCTTCCCCATAAAGAGACACTTTAGTATCTTAAACTATGCTAACCTTGTAATTACTCATAGCATAAATTCTTAGGGATTCTGAGCCATGAATATATACATCCATGCATATACATATATGTATATGTACACATATGGCTAAGAATATATTCTTAGCTTCTTACATTGGATTAAGAAAAGAGAACATTTCAGTGCTTTCCGATCATCATAGTAATAACAGTTGTCCTAAAATGAACAACATACGTGTCAGTTATTCGCATACAATATCCCAAAGCCTGTAAGAAGGCAAGCAACCTCTGCTTTATATTTGGGGAATCCCCAGCTTAGAGAAGTTGGGTGACCGGCCTGAGGCCATTCAGCTTGTGCCTGGCAGGGCTTGAAATATTTGGGGAACTCTGTAAGCACTCCGTGAATACAGAAAAATGGTTATTGGAAGGCCACGTCATGCGTTTGAGCCAGTATGCCCTTTGGAGAACAAACCCTAGACACAGAGACCTGAGTGGCGGCGGCGAGACGCACCGAGTCGTTTCTGTGCTATAGACAGCGCCAATTACCGGTTCGCATTTGGGATAGCTTGGGGCGCGGCTAAGTGTTTTCCAGGCTAGCCTGGGGATTTACTTCTCTTTTGTTGGCTGAGCTGCTGCACCGCTCTTTATTCATATTTTCAAGGCAGCACAAGCGCAGCGAATGTTCTCTAATTGCGCTCCCTTCCTGCAGTACGCCTGCTCCTTCTGAGCTCCGCGGGCTGGTTCCATACGCAGCTCGTGTGGGGAAGGGCTGGTGGCAGCTGCAAGTTGGTGTGTGACACATTGGGTAGTCACATTTCTCTTCTCTGTGGCCCTCCAAAGCCCTTTCCAACATAACTTTTCCCCATCTGTTCTCGTTTGCACTGCATAATAGGGGACAGGTTTTGGAACTTGGGATTCAGAAAAAAAAATTAAGAGAAAATAAAAATGAGATGGAATTTGAGTAGAAAGAAACTCACTGGTTTCCCCCCACCCCTCAATTGCTGGGATCATTACCAGAGTATTAAATCGATCAAGTTTTTGTCTACTTGATTCCTTTTACAAGGGAGTGAGGAAAAGGAAGGGAGAGAGAGAGAGAGAGAGAGAGAGAGAGAGAGAGAGAGAGAGAGAGAG